GAAAGCTGGGGGTACACCTAGGTGTTAGAGAATCCGGTCTGTGTACATACAGCCCACAGCTGGTGGGAAATGCAGAATACTGCGTGGCGTGTCCGGCGGTGAGGACGGGGGCTTTGTCCGTGGCTGACGGGGATTACACCTGGGTCTAGTGGGATCCCCGCGGCTCAGCCAGCACGGACGAGAACAGGAGGAATCCGTGTCCTGGCACCTGTCATCCAGCGGTGCCAGGTCACCCCCGGCGGGATAATCCCCTCCAGATTCACCTTCGGAGCAGGCCGAAGCAGGGGCCGCTGGTAATCCACATGGACTAGCCCAGGACTGGGTGACGACCCCACTGAACACGGGGCTTGGGTGCAGACGCAGGTCCTTTTTGTCAGGAAGGCTGTGGAGGGGACATCCTCTGGGGGCATCACAAACACACAGCTCCTGACTGCCTACACCTTCACACTGCCATCAACACCATCACCCCGTCTACACAGACGCCCAAATCCCTCACACAGCACACGCACCCCCACTCCACCATCACCCCGTCTACACAGACGCCCAAACCCCTCACACAGCACACGCACCCCCACTCCACCATCACCCCGTCTACACAGACGCCAACCCCCCCCACATAGCACACGCACCCCAACTCCATCACCCCGTCTACACAGATGCCCTCACCCCCCACATACAGCACACACACCTCCACTCCACCTTCACCCCGGTCTACACAGACGCCCAGCCCCCCTCACACAGCACACGCACCCCCACTCCACCATCACCCTCGTCTACACAGATGCCCAGCCCCCCCACACACACGCATCTCACTCCACCATCACGCCCATCTACGCAGATACCGAGCCCCCCTCCCACACACAGCACAGAAATTCCTACTCCACCATCACCCCTGTCTACACCATCGCTTTTCTCTATATAGATCCCCATTGCATCTTGGGCAAATGAAGCACCTGCCTCGTCTTCGTAAATGCCAATCCCGTGTCACTCACACGTACAAATAATGACCACCCTGTCTACACCATTACCCTCATCTGCACGGATGCCCATCCCCTCCCCTCACATTCACACACATCACCACCCGGTCTACACCATCACTCTCCTGTAAGTAGGCCCTCATACCCCAGGCCCTGGCCCTCTTGACCCGCGTGCACGAGAGGCATAGCAGCATCCTCCTGTTGCCCACATAAGGCATCCTAAGGGTCCTACAGAGACCTAGGAGCTCAGAGATCCTACAAATCTTGGCCACCCCCCCTGCGAGAGGCATGTGGCTTGGACGTGGAGCCGCCCGTGGTGCAGCAGTAGACCATGGGGCACGTGTGAGGGGGCCTTTCATGCAGTGTGTCCCCTGTGACCTACCTTCCAGGAAAAACCACGCTGATTAAGGCCCTGACAGGCGATGATGCTGTCCAGCCCCGGGATCAGCTGTTTGCGACACTGGATGTCACAGCCCATGCTGGGTGGCTGCCCTCCCGCATGGCTGTCATTTACATGGACACCATCGGCTTCCTCTCCGAGCTGCCCCACAGCCTGATTGAGTCCTTCTCCGCCACCCTGGAAGATGTGGCTCATTCGGTGAGTGTGCGATGATCCCGGGGGCTGAGTTACTGAAATCACCTGAAGAACCTGGGACTGGTTCCCCTCAGACACAACACAACCCTGGGGACCAGATCCCCTCGCACATGAAACAAGCTGGGGACTGGGTCCCCTCATTCATGACACAGCCCTGGGGACCAGGTCCCCTCATACCTGATACGACATGGGGACCAGGCTCTCTCACACATGACACAACATGATGGCTGCTGGATCCCCTCGCGCATGACACAACCCAGGGACCGGGTCCCCTCACAGGACACAACCCAGGTACTGGGCCCTCTCACACATGACACAGCCCGGGGACTAGGCTTCCTCACACGTGACAGAACCTTGGGGCCCGGGTCCCCTCACACCTAACGCAACATGAGGGCTGGATCCCCTCACTCATGACACAACATGGGGGCCAGATGCCCTCATACACGACACAACCCAGGGACCGGGCCCCCTGACACATGATAAAACCCGAGGACTGAAAAAAAAAAAAAAAAAAACCCGAGGACTGGATTCCCCTCGTTCACAATGTGACCCCAGGAACCAGGTCCCCTCACACGATACAGCCCGAGGACCAGGTCCCCTCGCATATAATACAGCATGGGGGCCGGATGCCATCATAATACATGACACAGCGCTGTGGCCTGGGTTGTCTTCATACACAACACAACACAACGCAGACGCCAGGTCTCCTCATACATGACACGGCCCTGGGGACTCACATTCCACCCCGTCAGGAAGCTGGCGCCCTAACTTACCGTGAGAGCGAGCCCTGCCTAGTGACCGCTTCTAAGACTAATTCCGGAAGGAGGTGGAGCCGCTCTGCGGGGAGACCTGTCACAGCTGACCCCTGGCCCTCAGGTCAGCCTTTGTGTGCAGCTTTGGGGTGATGTGATTGAAGGGCACATTCTCTTGGGCCTTCCGCCCAAACCCCAAACCTAGTGTCAACACAAGGAAACAACCAGAGAAACCCCAACTGAAGGGCGTCCCGCAAATGCCCACATGGTGCTCCACACGGTCCGGGTTCAGAGGGGCCAAGGAGAGGTGACAGACGAATGTAACACGTGTCGTGGAGGCTGTCCCAGGACGGAAAGGAGGAGCCGGGAGACTCCAGACCAGGAGCATAGTCAGAAGAGCGCGCCACCTCACGGTCCGCATTTCCCAAAACAAGTGTTTCTGGAATAAAATGCTTATCTTTGTCTTAATGTTAAGTGCATCTAAAACCTGGAAGCGAACATCCTGGAATGTAAAGTGGCCCCTCTGTTTGCAGGGGCAGAATTACAGGCACTTCTTGCTCTTTTTCTGTTCTGCATTTTTCCCAATTCTGCGTCAGACCCCTACCTGTAAACCACTTAAAACCAGGCAAAAACAATTCTTTAAAATTCAGAGTAACTCAGGCTCTGGAAGGTTCACAGCGAGTGTGCAGGTGTGTGTCGGTTTGAGACGTGTGAGATGCCCAAGGCCCTGGGTTAGGTATAGGGGGGTGGCCTGGCCAGGGCGAGACCCCGCGCAAGGGGCACCGGGTGAGCCACGGGCCCACTCTGTTCTCAGGGAGCGCCCACCCCCAGGTCCCACGCACCTCCACCGGCACCGCGGACTGCACGGGACACCGCCCCACTCCCACCCGCGCGTGCGGTGCCCATCAGAGCCCCCGTCGGGGCGGGTCCTCCCGTGGGGGGGGTTGAGGACCAGTGTCCCGTCCCATCCTTGTCCCCACCACGTGGCTTTTCTGTTCCTCAGGATCTGATCGTCCACGTGAGAGACGTGAGCCACCCGGAGACGGAGCTGCAGAAAGCCAGCGTTCTGTCCACCCTGCATGGCCTACACCTGCCCGCCCCACTCCTGGACTCCGTGCTGGAAGTTCATAACAAGGTGGACCTGGTCCCCGGGTGAGGGGCCCCGCCCACTGCCCCATGACCTTGGAGCCTCATTTCTGGCGAGTACCGGTGATGCACCTGTGTGATAGGGGCCTCGACGTGGCTGGTAGCAGCAGGCTGCTGTCATCCAGGTGCTGGAGGCGGCTTCCCGTGGCGCGTCCTCCCGTGGCGCGTCCTCCCCTGCTTTCAGGAAGAAAAGGGGAGGTAGAGCGCCCTTCCCCCCACCTGCCTGCTGTGAAGGGCTGTAACTCACAAGATTCAGCAGGCCACCAGAGCAGCATATGTTGGGGTGGTTTGTTCTGAGCCCCCTCGCCCGCACGGACCCCTTATCTCACTGCACCCTCATCATGGTTTCCTCTGTGTTCCTGTCCGACGGGGCCGCGTCCTCTCCTGACACACACGGAGGGGGTCACAGTGGGGGCCCGTGGGCGGGGGCCCCTGGGGGACCCTCGCTCCATCTTCCTGAGGCTGAGCAGGGTCTGCTGGCTGCCCCCACACAGGTATAGCCCGGCGGGACCACAGGCCCTCACCGTGTCCGCTCTCCTGGGGCACGGGCTCCCGGAGCTGAAAGCCCGGCTGGAAGACGCCATTCTGAGAGCCACGGGAAGACAGGTCCTCACTCTCCGGGTCCGGCTGGCGGGCACGCAGCTGAGGTGCGTGGGGCTGGCCCGGCGGGGGCCATGGCCGTGGCCTGCTGTGGCCATGCAGGGTGTGCAGGTGCGGGAAAGGCAGCGGAACAGGCAAGGCGCCAGCACACAGAGGGGCCGCGTCGTTTCTGAGTTGCCGTGAATCTGGGTTAATCACCCCACGTGCGGGCGCCGGCCGGCTGTTGGCGTGCCAGGCGTTCCCGGGCCGTGGGCAGTGACGACAAGGTCGTGTGCGGGCTTGGGGGCGGAGCTCCCTGGGGGAAACAGTTCCTGCGAACACGTCCTTACAGAATGCTGCCCTTCCTCACGTCCTCAGCTGGCTGCATCGGGAGGCCACGGTGCAGGAGGTGGACGTGATTCCCGAGGCCGGCGTGGCCGACGTCAGGGTCGTCATCAGCAGCTCCGCCTACGGCAAGTTCAGGAAGCTCTTCCCCGAGTGAGTGGACACTGTGTGAGTTCAGCCGTCCGCTGAAGTGGCCGCCGTCCCCTCCGTGGCTGCTCTGGGTGGAAGGGCTGGTGGCTGCCTCCTGTGCCTGGAAGTCAAAGCTCAGGTTGCCGGCGGATGGACTGAGCGGTTCTGGCTCCTGGGGGATCGTGCATGTCTCGTGAGAGCTGACGTCCCTCCCGCGGGGTTTCGGCTACAAGATATTCAGAGCTCTGCTCATGTTTGTAAACCAGTCTTCCTGCTTCTTCCGTGTGTGGGCTGCCCTGCAGGAGGTCCTGCCTGCGGTGGCCGTGACGGGGCCAGTTGGGGTTTCCGCATCTGGTGTGTGTCACAGACTCACAGCTGCGAGGCCTCGCTGCTCCCCACGGAGCGTCCTGGACATTGTGACAGTCTCCCGGCCACCCAGAAGCCTCTCTGCACGGGTCGAGGAGAAAACACGGTGTGTCATTGATGCAGCACAAAGCCAGGATGGTCTGCGCTCACAGCCAGCCGGCTCTGACGTGGGAGAGACAGGAGGGACCTCGCCTTTCCCACGGCCTGTCACGGACCTGGGCTGTCTTCATCACAGGTCCCAGGACACACACCCTGGGGCGCAGAACTGGACACCGGTCCCTCCGCTTTTAAAGACATTAGTACACGTCTGAGCGTGCTGTCGTTGCCCGTTTTCTGGAGGGAACGCTGACGTGAGAGGCCTCTCTGTTGCCGCCCTGGAAAGTGTTTTACTTCATTTTCCCCTTTCGATGTCTGGTCACCCTTACAGCAGTGTTTTGTGAGTGATTCCAGATTTCAGCATTCAGGGATTCAAAATAAAAAAAAACAAAAACCCGTAGCCTGCCTCGGGGCATGCAGGGGGGTGTGTCTTTCCTGAAGACGGGAGAACCTTCTCCTTACTCGAGTCCTGAGACGTGAGGACAGAGCAGAGGCTGAGTTGGGGAAACTGAGGTCCCCGCGGTGCTGGTGTGGAAGAATGAGGAGGAGCCGGGATTGAGGCAGGCAGGGAGCGCGGAAGCCGGGTTCTCTCCAGAAGGACCCAGCCCCCGACGTTGGCCCAGGGAGACCCATGTCAGCGCCCTGGCTTCCAGAACCGTTTTGAGAATAAATATCTGCGCTCTGAGGCCCCCACGTGTGATCATCTGTTCCAGCGGCCCCAGCACCCTCACGAGCGGGGTCCTGGGGTGTTGGACAGGACTGGATGACAGCGCCCCGCGAGCCAGCTGTGTGCTGGGACGGCCTCACCCACTCCTCCCACAGGGGCCCCGAGGGCTGAGTGTGGAGCTGATACGAGGTCCCCTGTGCTGTCGGGCCCACACAGTGGACGGGGATGGTGTGAGGTCCCCCAGCCCCCTCCGGGCCGGCTGAGTGGACGGGGGGCACGAGGTCCCGCAGCCCCCTCCGGGCCGGCTGAGCGGATGGGGGCGCGAGGTCCCCCAGCACTGTCCGGGCCGGCTCAGTGGACTGGGGAGTGTGAGGCCCCTCGCAGAACTGTCTGGCCTTCTCAATGGCTGGGGCAGGCGTGAAGTCCTGCAGCACTGTCCCGGTCGGCCCAGTGGCCGGGGCGGGCTGCAGGATGGCCCAGGCGTGGCTGGAGCGTCAGGACACCTGCCGCCTCTGAGAAGGCTGATCAGTCCAGGAGACCCGCCAGGCTTTCTGCTTCACTCAGCTTGGCCCTGGGGGATTTGCTCCTACGGGGTCTCCGAACAGACCCCAGGGGGCCGGGAAGCATCCTGCATAGGCCGCCCCAACCCCCGAGGCCCAGCCCAGTCCACATGCCCCTGGGTGCGTGCCCCACTCTGCCCTGAGCCCCCGAGGCCATGCTCTGCCCGGTCCCTACGCCAGGGGCACACACATCTCCCCAGACCTCCTCTCCGGGCTCTGACCGCTCCACCCCAATTCCTCCCTGTGCAAGAGACACAAGGAAGGGGTGGGCGTGGGTCAGGCCTCTGGTCCCTCACTCTCCTTCTGGCACCCCCCCCCCCCACCGCCTGGTATCCCTACCCCGTCCCGAAGGCCCCACCCCAAGGCCTGGAGACTGCAGGGTCCTGACATCCGCTGTGGATGCTTAGCAAAGTGGGGTTTTGCTGAGGAGGTGGCTGGGGGCTCCAGGGGGCCTGCAACAGAGGGTTGGGGGCCTCGGGGGGCCTGGGAGGGAGATTCAGGGGCCTTCTGGGGCCTGGGAGGGAGGGCCACAGGTTTTGGGGGCCACACAGAGAGGGTTTCGAGCTTCTCACTGGGGAGAACAGGTACAAGACCGCCCCCCACCCCGCTCCCCCTGCCAGCACCCAGGCTTCCCCAAGACCCCCTCTGTCTGCAGATGGGCTTCTCCCCTCCCAACTCCGGGGCCCACCGTGTCCAGAGGAGCCAGGGCCTGAGAACAAAGCCACGTACTGGGAGGGAGGCAGTCGCTGGCGGAAGGGGACCCACCCAAACCCCCGCAGTGCGCCCACCACAGATCTGATGTGGGAAGGAGGAAGGACCAAATACAGGCTTGACCCAGAGCCACCATCACGAGATGGTCATTCACCCAGCCGACCACGCACCCTGCCGGGCGCTGTGAAGAGCTGAACCACGCCGCTTCCTCCTCTGTGGGCTGACCGTCCACACCTTCAGCCACAACGTTGTTGTCCGCCAGGCAGATCCCTGAGAGAGCTCACCCCTCAGATACAAGTCTCATCCTTAAAATTAACTACACAGGGCCAGGGGGACGCCTGGCTGGTCCAGTCTGTGGACCTCGGGGTTGTAGGTTTGAGCCTCACATTGGCTACAGAGTTGACTTAAGAGTAAAATCTTCAGGGCGCCTGGGTGGCTCAGTCGTTAAGCGTCTGCCTTCGGCTCAGGTCATGGTCCCAGGGTCCTGGGATCGAGCCCCGCATCGGGCTCCCTGCTCCGCGGGAAGCCTGCTTCTCCCTCTCCCACTCCCCCCGCTTGAGCTCTCTCTCTCTCTGTCAAAAATAAATAAAATCTTTTAAAAAGTTTTTTTTTAATTAAAAAAAAGGTAAAATCTAGTGTGGAATCTTTCCTTCATGTCCACACTGAGGAACTTAAAATACCACAGCACTCAAAAGTTGCATCCAGGGGCACCTGGGTGGCTCAGTCTGTGAAGCGTCTGCCTTCGGTTCAGGTCGTGATCTCAGGGTCCTGGGATCGAGCCCCACGTCCGTTTTCCTGCTTAGCAGGGAGTCTGCTTCTCCCTCTGCCTCTGCCCCCCATTCGTGCTCACGCTCTCGCTCTCTCTCAAATAAATAAAATGTTAAAAAAAAATTTTCATCCACTGTTTCTGTTTGTTTTTTTTAATATATATATATATTTTTATTTGACAGAGAGAGACACGGCGAGAGAGGGAACACAAGCAGGGGGAGTGGCAGAGGGAGAAGCAGGCTTCCCGCCGAGCAGGGAGCCCGATGTGGGGCTCGATCCCAGGACCCTGAGATCATGACCTGAGCCGAAGGTAGTCGCTTAACGACCGAGCCACCCAGGCGCCCTCATCCACTGTTTTAATTTCCAAAGCAACAATAAGCTGTGACCCAGCACGATTTTTGAACAAAGCTCTCTGTGACCTGCAGAACGTGCTCGCTGAACATCATGCTTGTACAGACCCTCCCATGCATTGCCCAGATGTTTTGGTCGCTTGAATGATGAAAACAAAAAGGCACAAACACGTCTGACTTTGTCGATCGTCCTCTGGGATTAAATGATCGCGTGGACCGTTCCTGACGCAAAGACAAGGTACTCGTGGATCAGACATAGAGACGGTGGTCCTTGTGTTACAGTATCATTTTCAAGACTATGTCCTAAGAAGACCTAATGTCTAGTGCTGTTCCATCGTAGGAGGAATATTCCAGAACACGAGATACACAGGAACTCCTGGATCCCATGTCAACGTGGGAAGAAAAATAAGATAGTACAACTGGGATTCCCCTTTGGCCGAGCATTGGAAACCAGCAGCTCCATAACCCTCATATGCAAAAGGAGCGACCTCTGTGACCTTTGGGGTCATGAAGTTGGAACCCTGGGTACCGGGAAGCAGAGCCAAGGCCTCTAACACGATGCCTGGCCGCCCATGGCGGGGGGTGTCTCATCCGGGCCCCCGGGCTTTTGACCCATGGGGGTGGCTGAGGCCAACCACCGAAAGAAGAATTTAATGACTCCCGTCTCCCAAGACAGGGGCGAGTGCCCCCTGAGGCCACGGGGAAAACCCATTTTGGGGCGTGAGGGTTTCCATGGGAAAGGCAGGGTGGGAGAGAGCACTCGGGGCAGCTGTCCAGAGTGAGCAGTGGTGGCGGGCTCTGGGTGACAGGCCCCCGCCCCAGAAGACTGGGGTAGCTGGAAATCAGGCGCAGCTCGCCTCTCGGCGCTTCCCAGATACCGTGTGTCTGACCAACGGAAGGCTGGCCGAGGCCGCGGGTGCCGTTCTTCCAACAGTGTCCGCTCACCTCATGTCTCTGCATCCCATTCCGGTTGCAGCTTTTCCTTATGAGTCTATTTGTTGTGGTTATCTGTGGCCAGTGGTTACGACTCCCTGACAACTCAGACGGTTAGCATTTTTAAGCAATAACACATTTTAATTAAGGCACGTACACACTTTAGGTGCCATACAATTGCACGCTTAATAGACGATAGTGTAAACATAACGGCCATGTGCCCTGGGAAACCAAAAAACTCATTTGACTCGCTTTATTGCGATCTTGCTGGAACCAATCCCGCCCTGTGTCCAAGGAGCACGAGAATCGGTTCAGCCTGTGAGCTCTGGAGCGCACCCGCATCCGTGTGGCGTGTGAGCATTGGAGGACAGGGCGCGGCATTTCCACAGAAGACGCATGCTCCCAAGTACGTCGTTTCTGTCTGTGGGAATCAGCTAGCCCTGACAGGGGCCGTCTCACCGCTCACCATTCTGGTCCCCAAACGCCAGAGCATGAGGACACAGAAAAGAAGAAAATACAGTTAACGTCTTTGGCGCTGTGAGAAATGGGTGGCAGATCGACACAGATGGACGGACTCTAAGAAACCGTGGAATGACGAGATGGTAAAAGTGAGAAACGCCCAGTGTGGCCTTGGGAGGAGGGAACAGTGACAGGCGGCCAACACCACAGACCATCGGCTTCATTTCGGAGATGCTTGAAGGCAGCCTCCCAGCGGGGCTGACGTGCCAGGCAGAGGAAGGGGGTGGGAGGAGCACAGACTTGCCGCTCCAGGGGATGGGTGTGAGGACGGGGATGCCACGGCAGCCCCCGGCATGGGCGTGGAGCTGCCCGTCACACCCGTGTCCCCTCACTTCCTCGAAGAGAGCGCTACACGAGGCCTCTGGAAGTGGGAGGGAGCATGTGTGCAACACCACTCGCCATCAAACAGCCCCTAAGGGTCCTTATGTTACCGTCAGAGAAGCCAAAGTGAAACCAGCCCCATGGGGCCCACGGTCCTCAGGGAAAACACACAGGCCGTGATGCCGTCAGAATTAGAAGTAGGTTTTCCCCGTTTTCGTGGTTTTCTCAGTGGGGTTCCGGTACACCCAGTCCTACCCACCAGACACGATATGATGGGCTTCACGTGGCTCCAGGAAGCTGTCGGGATGTCATCCTGCTGCCCTCAAGGCCCCAGGGGAAGGGACGACCCACGGCAACCACAGCACAGCCGGGGCTGAACCTACAGGAGCAGACCCCAGGTTTCGGGTCATTCTTCCTCTCAGGATGCAAGCACATACCACCATTGATCATCAGCGTGTTCTGTGATCCACCCCAGCAACACAGAAGAACTGTGAGGCCAGGTGCCACCAACAGGGCTGCCCTGACGTCAGGGGGAGGCAGGGACCCCGCCCCGGACCCACTCTTCCCGCCCGCACTCCACGTGAGCTGCAGAAGGGACATGTGAGCATCTCAGCAGCTTCTCGTTGAGTCTTATGACGTCGCCCACAAACGTGTCCGCACCGATGAAGTCGCCCGCGATGATGTTGGTGCACCGTGCGCCCGGCCCAGGGCACTGCTCCCGGACCCATGCGCTCAGGTACGGCAGGTTCGGGAGGGTCATCTTCCTGAGGGACTGGGACGGGTGCCCGAGGACATACGCCAGGTTCTCTGTCAGGTTGATGCCCGCCACAAACAGCCCGCCTGAAGCAGGAAGGAGAGAGAGGTACCCAGGGCAGCGGACAACCCGCCTCACGCTCCGCCAGCCCACCCCCTTCTCCTCCCACTTCTCATCACCAGAGTTTCAGGTCTCCATGCAGATGACAGTTCCAACGGCAGAGGGAACATACGTGTCAATGTCAGTGCCGTGCTCCTGTCACCCGAGAGTGGGCGGAATCACGTCCCCAGAGATCTCCACGTCCTGACCCTGATGTGGTGGATGGAATAACATCCCCAGAGACGTCCACATCCCGACCCCCACATGGTGGACAGAATAACATCCCCAGAGACATCCATATCCCAACCGCCACGTGGTGGATGGAATCACGTCCCTAGACATGTCCATGTCCCGACCTCGATGTGGTGGACAGAATCACGTTCCCAGGGCACCTGGGTGGCTCAGTTGGTTAAGCGACTGCCTTCGGCTCAGGTCATGATCCTGGAGTCCCGGGATCGAGTCCCGCATCTGGCTCCCTGCTCGGCGGGGAGTCTGCTTCTCCCTCTGACCCTCTTCCCTCTCGTGCTCTCTATCTCTCTCATCCTCTCTCTTTCAAACAAATAAATAAATCTTTAAAAAAAAAAAAAGAATCACGTCCCCAGAGACGTCCACGTCCCGACCCCCACGTGGTGGACAGAATAATATCTGCAGAGATGTCCACGTCCTGATCTCGGGGAGTTATGAATATGTAACCCTACATGGCAACAGTGACTTTGTGGATTGACCAAGCTAAGGGTGCTGAGGTAGAAGTAGTGCTGGTGCCCCCGTGGCCTCTGTCATCACACGGGTCCATAAGAAGAGGGAGGCAGGAGGCAGATTTGAGCACAGATGAGGAACATACAGTGTTGACAGTGGAATCAGGAGGAACAAAGATGGGGGCCACAAGACGTGGCACCTCCAGAAGCTGGGAATGGAAGGAAACCCACTTCTGCGCCGGAGCCTACAGAAGGCACCAGCCTTGCCGACACCGTGATGTTAGTTCTGAGACACCCATCTTGGAACTTCCACCCTCCGATCCGTAAGAAAATACATGTGTGCTGTTTTTGGCTGCAGGGTGTGTGCTATTTGTCACAGCAGCAAATGGAGACCGATACATAGCACGTGTCAGCCAGTGGATTTCTGGCGGGGCTTCCAGAATCCTCGGAAAGGTAGGCGCCTGGCCACGTCACAGATCTGCTGATGCAGAATCTCGGGGTGGGGGGGGTGCTTGGCAGCCTGTGTTAGGAAGCTGGCAGGCGACGTTCTGAACACCCGGCACTGGCTTGCTAACCTGACCCACAACAAAACAGCAACGGTCACAGAAGGTGGGTGTTTCTGCAAGCAGTCTTCCCTCTAACCCCCAGAATCCAAGCTCATCAACCAGAGAAACACAAGAGAGCGAGATACTACACCACCAACAACTTGCTCCTCCGGTGGCCTCGGGTGGTCTCGGGGCCGGGCCTTATGCCCTTCCCTTAGGACACAATGCTCATGGCTTCGGGAACGCTGCTTTGTGAGCATGCAGAGGCCTGAGAATTCGAGCAACATGTGTGCTTGGAGCCACGTGAATGCCCAGAGTCACACGAGTGCTGGTGCCACGTGAGTCCTTGGAGCCACGCGAGCCCTCAGAGCCATGTGAAAGTTGGAGCCACATACGTGCTGGAGCCACAGGGGCAGAGGGAGCCACATACATGCTTGGAGCCACATGAGCACCAGAAGCATGGGAGGTCCACAGAGGGCCTCAAGTGAGGGGAACACACTCACATCTGTGTGGGGAGGCTTCCTCCAGCGTAGCTTCCCATCCCCAGAGGAAAAGACAACTGGGGTTCTCAGCAGCAGTTGCACATGACACCCTCCACCCTGCTGCCCCCCACTGGCTACTTTTCTTAAACATGGAGGTGAAATTCACATGCTGGAAACAGAATGATTCAGCAGCGTGTGGCACATTCACGTGGTTGGGCAACCACCACCTCTGGTTCCAGAACATTCTCATCCCCCCCCAAAGGAGGCCCCATCCCCATGAGGTCTCATTGTTTCTGCCCCCCACACACCCGATGTGGCTGTGGTGTCTGCTTCTCTCACTGAGCACCACGTGTCCATGGTCCATCCACACTGCACCGTGTGTCCTCTCCGTGGACAGACCATATTCTGTTGTGCAGATGGGCCTTCAGTGTGTTTGTGCATCGGCCACGAACGCCGGGTTGTTTCCACCCGGAGCAGTTTTCAAACAAACACCGTGGGCCCACCACAAAGTGGGAGCCCAGGCTCAGCCAGGTTTGGAGCTAGAACTGCGCCCCACCAATTGCACCCCTGTGCTGTTTCAACCACACGGACATGCTCCACAGCATGCACCACAGCTGCGCCCCACGCAGGAGTCTGTAACAACAGACCACGGAACCCACAAAGAAGCCGGAGGTCAGTGCAGCATCCAGGCTGAAAACCCAGCTGCCTTCCGTGGAAAAGCACACGGAACCGGCTGCCAGAAGCACGTGGCAAAGCTTGGCACACTTATCGCCTCCTCGAGTCTCTGTGCAGTGACGGCTCTGTCAGTTTCAAACATGGTCATCGATGGTGTTGACTCAGGGAACCTCTACCGGCCGTGCCAAGTGGGACACACGACCACGCTGCATCACCAGCTACTGATGCACAGCATGACACAGAACAACCGGGCCTGGAGGCCCAAAGTGTCTCCTGGCACAACCACATACCCTTGACCACGGACAGGAAACAGTAAAGCCATGGACTCCACAATCAAGAGAAGGTCACTTTCTTGAAGCCAGTGGGTGCCACAAAGCCAAGATGCCCCTGCCACAGCAGTAAACTGGGGGTTATCTGCAGCACGTTTGCCAGGAGAAGTACCACAAAGCCCTCAGACCACGGGGGTCCCAATGGAAATACGTGGGACTGTGAGCATTCCCACTAGAAGGGGTCCACATGAGCATGTGAGTCCCACACTGGCCCTCTCTGAGCTGGAGACAAGGCAAGCCCTTGGGCCAGCTGCCCGACAGGGCATGGTGGACCGAGTGTGCATGGGATGAGTGCCCAGTGGCACGGCCGGCATGCCAAGCCAGCAGCCCAAGAGGGGTCCACGCAGATAAGCCCTGTCACCTCTGTGAGGTGGATTCCACACAGCCATTGTACGAAGGAAGCCCCAAACCAAAGTAAGACGTGAAACTTGACAGAGAAAGAGGGACAGGGACGCAGTCACAGAGATGGATGGACAGAGGTGGACGCAGAGAGAGACAATGTGCAGCACCGGGTAGTGGGCATTGCTCACTCCTCACCTCTAAACGAAAACAACCACATCCCCACTGCACAGGGCGGCCAGATGGTCAACAAGCCCGTGCTTAGCAAGTGCCAGCTACACAGACATTCAGTGGCCGCCAGCAACTGTTTCAGCTCTTCTGCAGTAAACCGTGCACAGTGCGTCTGTGGGAGCACGCTGCACACAACACGTAGCTCACACTCCTGTGCAGGATGGCACAACCACCCCTGCAGAGCAGAGCCTGGGGCAGGGTGTGTACCCAACTACACGCACCTCGGAATCGATGCCACGTGTGTGTACACGTAGGTCCACACATAGATGTCACGTGGATATGTGTGCATACAACTCTATATGTATATGCACCTATGTACATGGGCATATATGCACACGTACACAGGTTTGCACACCCATACACATGTTTGTACACGTTATGCTCTTAGCTACATGCGTGTGTGCACGTGTACACACGTGTTTGCACACCCATACACGTGTTTCTACGTGTTGTAAACTTGTGTACACCCACGTGCATATAGGCACGCACACGTGTGTGCACACCCATGTGCATGTTTATACATGTTATGCACACAGACACAAGATAGACGACTTCTAAACTTCTTTCCTGAAAGCCGGAAGCAGACCTGTGAGTGACAGCATGCGTGGGACCTGGCTGCAGGGCGGCATCACCTATCTGGACAGGCCTTGCTCACCTGGGCGGCCGCAGCTCTTCATGCGCTCCAGGTACTGGATGAGCTCCTGGGCTTTCACCTGGTCCGCCCACCAGTAGGGGATCCCAGGCCACAGCTCCCCGTGCCGGCTCACAACGCTTTCCTCCTCGTAGGACAGAATGACCTGCTGCCCGCGTGACCACAACTGGTTCAGTGTCGGCAACTCCTGGAGCGGGAGGGGGATGGCGGTGACTGACAGAGGACTATGGGGGTGTCTGAGGGAGACGGTGGCGGTGGAGGATCGGGGTGTCTGAGACACACAGATGGTGGAGGATCAGGGTGTCCGAGAGAGACAGTGGTGGTGGAGGATCGGGGTGTCTGAGAGACGGTGGTGGTGGTGAATGGGGGTGTCTGAGAGATGCAGTGATGTAGGGTTATAGGGGGTGTCTATAGAGGGAATACGACAGAGGGCAGGGCTGCATCCAGAACTGCACTGTGGCCTCTGGGTTCTTAGGGGAACAGGGTACTAGTTTTATTCTCAGCACCCTGAGCCCACACTGACCCGCTGAGACAACTCGAATAGTGATGGGCACAAGGAAGGTCACCTTTTTAAAGTTTTATTTATTTGAGAGAGAGAAAGAGAGCGAGCACGAGCAGGGGGAGGGGCAGAGGGAGAGGGAGAAGCAGGCTCCCCGCGGAGCAGGGAGCCCGATGCGGGACTCGATCCCAGGACCCCGGGATCATGACCTGAGCCGAAGGCAGACGCTTCACGACTGAGCCGCCCAGGCGCCCCGGAAGGTCACCTTTTACTACATTACACCCTGTCGAAGGACCGGTGCTCTTGTCCCCTGAGGCTGAACATCGACCTCCCGCCCTCTCCTGTCTCTCCTCTGACGTCCCCATGGGAGACTCACACTGGCAGTGTATCCCCAGGGCAACCGCTCCCGCCACCATCACCACAGGATCCCCGAGCACCTGGGCGCCCTGGTTCACAGCAGCCCCGTGGTCTGTGTTTTGGCCCCAAACCATGAGGGACCACAGTGCTTTCTCCTGGCTTAGGACGTAATTGGACAAACGCCAGACAAAGTGATGTAAAATGGACCCAAAATGGACATGGAGTTAATGTCTCAGGTTCCTGGAGACTAAGGGAGGCCTCTTTCCCCACTGGCCAATGGAAAAAATTATCTAGATAATAAAGCACAAGGACGGCCGGGTGGCTCAGTCGGTGAAGCGTCTGCCTACAGCTCAGGTCATGATCCCGGGGTCCTGGGATTGAGCTCCAGGTCAGGCTCCCTGCTCAGTGGGGTGTTTGCTTCTCCCTCTCCCTCTGCTGCTCCCCCTGCTTGTGTTCCTTCTTTCTCAAATAAATAAATAAAACCTTTAGAAAAAAAAGAAGATAATAAAGCACAGGTTGTGTTGTGAGCTCAACTGTGTCCCCTCGAAAATCACACATTGAAGTCCTCACCCTAATACCCCATAACATGACTATTTGGAGGTGGGGTCTTTAAAGAGATCATGTAGGTAAAATGAGGTCACAAGGGTGGGCTCCGATCCCATAGGACTGGGGTCCTTATAAAAAGAGGGGATGAGAACACAGACACCCACAGAGGGATGACCACATGAGGACACGGGGAGAAGACAGGGTCTACCTCAGGAAGGACCCGCCTCGGCCCCACCTGCGTCGGACTGACAGCCTCAGCCCTGCCTGGATCTCACACTCCCAGCCTCAGCCCTACCTGGATCTCACACTCCCAGCCACAGGCCTGCCTGGATCTCAGACTCCCAGCCTCAGCCCCGCCTGGATCTCACACTCCCAGCCTCAGCCCTGCCTGGATCTCAGACCTCCAGCCTCTAGGACTGGGAGAGAATACATCTCTGTAGTTCTGAGGCTGCCCCATGGTGGACTGTGTGACAGTGGCCCTGGGGCACACCCAGAGAATGCTCAGGGTATCGAAACATGGTGGCAATTTCTAAACAGGCACTAAGTGTGACCCAAGGTGCTAGAGAAGCAGCCCTCCTCTGTCCGGGCAGCGCGTGTGCCGCACCAGGCTGCACTTGCGGGGTCTCTCTGCTTTCGGGGCATCAAGAGGACCACACGAGTAGCCTCACCCAGCACCAGGATTCTGTCAGAATCATGCACCAGAACCAAGCAGCAGGTAAGTCTACCATCCACATCCTGCCCCACCAGCCCTGCCAAAGGGGCCCTTCTCACCCCTCGGGGACACAGCATGTCCCCAAAGATGTTCCGGATGCAGGCAACCAGGTACTCATGCAGGTCCTCCGTCATGCCCTCAAAGTTCCTGCATGCCAGGATGACAACCTCCCGGGGGTGGTTCTCCAGCCACTCTGAGATCTCCGTGAGCGTGTCCTGCGCAGGGGAGAGAGGAGCTCGTGCAGACAGTCCCCAGAGAGGCCAGGAAGGTGGGGGACGCTCCCGCAGGTCGAAGGGGCTTTTCCAAACAACACTCACTGGACAAACGGGCCAGGTCCCGCACAAACAGATACATGCAGCAGGCGTCAGCCATCTCAAACGCAGCCTCGCCAAAGCAACAGCTAGGCCGTCAGCCGTTGCTCAGGGGGCAGAAGCATATGCCTGGATGTGCTTGTCCATGCGTGTGTGTGACCGCGTGTGTGCATGCTCACTCCAGAGGGCACCGCGGGTGCCGAGGTGTGAAGTCTGAAGTGCCAGGGAGCACACCAAGGCCAGCCAGTGGCATGTGGAGTGAGATCCCGGGGATGATGTCTTCCTGGCCACACACACACCCTGGAGGGCTTGCGGGGGGGGGGGGGGGGGGGGGGGGGGGGGGGCAGGGTGCCCAGAGCAGGTGTGAAGCATGACGGTGATGTGTCACATTCACACTTTGGAACCCGTCATGTAGCGGCTGGGGAGACTGAAGACACCCCAACCAAAGGCGGGAAGACAAGGCGCCCCTTTTGCAAACTCCAGGAGACACTAGAGGAGTCAGGGGTCAGGGTGCAAGCTCAGAAATGCACTCTGGTCACGAGTTCTGAAGGCCGGCCTTCTCCTGTGTGCAGTGCATGTGGGTGGAGGCCTCCCCGCTGAGCCATGCACCCCCTGTGCCCCCGTACCTCCACCAGAGCAGTGGTGTATACCATGTGCACAAAGTGTAGATTCTTCTCAGTGCCGACAAGCATGTGTGCAATCCGCAGGTCCAGGTACCGCACCCCCGCATCCAGCTGCTTGGTGACGTCCAGCACCTGCGGACAGAGGTCAGGCGTCCCTGCGGGGCACCGCGCGGCCCCCACCTCGGTGCACTGCCACCGTCCCGGGCTTGGAGTTGGGCTGGAGCTGCCAAGCTGGGGGCCACATTGTTTGATGTGCAACCAGTAGGTATTGGTTCCCGCTGGGGCTCGGGAAGCCACGTGAGCCGTGCGTTTGAGAACACGCTTTCCTGGAGACACTGGCCACGGAGAGCCACAGAGGGAGCCTGGGGAGGCCCCGTCCTGCAGCACATGCCTCCTGGGCCCTGACACTGGCCACAGAGAGCCACACAGGGAGGCTGGGGAGGCCCTGTCCTGCAGGAAATGCCCCCTGGGCCCTGACACTGGCCACCGAGAACCACAGAGGGGGGCTGGGGAGGCCCCGTCCTGCAGGAAATGCCCCCTCAGCCATGACACTGGTCATGGAGACCCACACAGGGAGGCTGGGGAGGCCCCATCCTGCAGGAAATGCCCCCTCGGCCATGACACTGGTCACGGAGAGCCACACAGGGTCCTGCCTCCCCCACTTCCCAGGCAGTCACCAGGAAGGAACCCTGTCTGGGTCTCAACAGCACTGGGCCAGGCTCCAGGAAGCCCCACCTGGACCCTCAGGGGGCAGGAGGCACCGTGGGGGGGTCAGCTACAGTGGGCACCGTCCCCACCCCACTAACAGCACCAGGAAGAAAGGTCACAGAGGGTCAAGGGAAGAAAAGGCTGTCCCCTTCCACACAACGTCATAATGGGAAAAGCATGAATTTCCATGGAAATACTTTTTACACCCTGGGTCCTCTTGCGGGGAGCTTGCGTTCCTCCTGCTAGTCTCCCTGCTGACAGATTAGGAAACTGAGGTTGTGAGTCTCCGTAGAGGCCCACCATGTGCACGGCGTGGGGTCCCCACACCCCAGCCCCAGGCCGCCTCCATGCACAACCGCCTGGGAGGGACCTTGGTGCTCTTGGTGGGGCCTTGCCCAGAGACCCCGAGTTCTCAAGAGGCCCAGAGTCTGGGGAAGGGAATTCTGCCAGTGACTCCCAGGGGACGGGCGGACCCTCCTGCGGCGACCCCCAGTCGGCCCAGGCCGCTGTGCACAGGCTTGTGGTCCCGCTGCCCTTGGTGGACGTTCTGGATGGAGGGAAGAGACCATTGTGTCCCCTAAAACATCCCTTCAGACACTTGTGCTGTATTTTGAGACAGTAAAATAGGTGCTCATTGTTTTAATATTTGGAAAACAGCAGAATCCGGAGAGGCTGACAATGGACCCACGCTCTCACTGCCCAGGGCTTATCTCTGCGAGATCTGGGGATGCAAACCCCGCCCCCCCCCCCCCCGGGCAGAGAGGTCCCTGACCAGCAGGATGGGAGATCTGGGGATACAAACTTACAGCCCCCCAACCCCGGCAGAGAGGTCCCTGACCAGCAGGATGCGTTCCTCCCTGTTTGCCCCTCAGTGTGTGTGCTGCAAAATTTAATTTCAATTATGCCCCCTCCCCCGTCCAGTCTTCCCCAGAATCCTCAGCAGCTTCTGACATTGTACATTCTGGAGAAAATGACCCAGTGTATGCACCATTTCCCAGTGTGGGGACGCACCGTGATGGGGTTCCACTGACCCCTGTGTCTGGTACTGGTGTGCAGGCGTGGCTGGTTATTTCCTGCACGGGATTCCCTGAAGGATCTAGCCCTTTCAGCAGCGTCCAACAGACACCCCACACACACACCATAGACCTCATGGGACACACCATAATGGTGTCCCAGCACCACGGGGCCCCAGGACCCCAGCACTGCAGGACCCCACCACCGCGGGACCCCAGGACCCCAGCACCACGGGACCCCAGCACCACGGGGCCCCAGGACCCCAGCACCACGGGACCCTAGCACCATGGGGACCCCACCACCGGGAGACCCCAGCACCCAGGGACCCCACCACCACGGGACCCCAGGACCCCAGCACCATGGGACCCCAGCACCGGGGGACCCCAGCACCATGGGACCCCAGCGCTGCAGGACCCCAGCACCATGGGACCCCAGCACCCGGGGACCCCACCACCACGGGACCCCAGGACCCCAGCACCATGCGGCCCCAGCACCGCAGGACCCCAGGACCCCAGCACCACGGGACCCCAGCACTGCGGGACCCCAGCACCACCGTGGGACCCCAGCACCCGGGGACCCCACCACCGTGGGACCCCAGGACCCCAGCACCACGGGACCCCAGCACCGGGGGACCCCAGCACCGCAGCGTCTCTAGGGCCACAATGAACCCACCTACCCCTCCCACAGGGCTCTGGGGTGACTCCCAACAGGCACCTCACGTCAGGAATGTGGTTTCTCCGCATTCCAGACCTGCAGGTCCTGTAGGATTAACGTCCCGATGGAAATTCCTGGAGCCTAGCAATTACAAAGGTCAGAGCCCTGGGGGGGGGTTGGCCTCCACTCGGGGAGAGACTCCAGAGCACGAGAGCCTGCAACCCAAAAACACAGACTCCTGAGCCCTCCCCCAGGCGGAAGTGAGAGATGGGCTGCTCCCCAGGTGACCCCCACGTTGCCGCCCCCAGCTGGGCCCCAGCTGGCACCCCTCCCCCGCTCACTGCCTCAGGCTGTGCAGGTGTCAACCCTACAGCCAGGTGCCCCCCCCCGGGAGGACACCCCGGGTCACTCTGACCCGCCTCTGCACACCAGGCACCACCACCCCACCCGGTCCCGGGTGAGGACTCCCCAGGTCACCCCAGCTCCTCTCTACGCCACGCCCCATCCTGTGAGGACCGCTGTTCCAGGGAGACAAGCACTGGGCAGGGAGGATGGAGCAAACCCGAATAGAGAGAACAGGTTCTGTGCTGTCCTGCACCTGAGGGACAGAACCACAGACTCCCTGCACATTCCCTGCACACCTCTCCCTGCACACCCCCCTCTGCCTTTCCCTACACACACCCCCTCCCTGCACAACCCTGCACACACCCCTCCCTGCCTTTCCCTGCACACACCCCCTTCCTGCATTTCCCTGCATACACCCCTCCCTGCATTTCCCTGAACACACCCCTCCCTGCCTTTCCCTGCACACACTCCCTCCCTGCCTTTCCCTGCACACACCTCTTCCCTGCACAACCCTGCACACACCCCCTCCCTACATTTCCCTGCACACACCTCTCCCTGCACACACCCCTCCCTGCCTTTTCCTGCACACACCCCCTCCCTGCCTTTCCATGCACACACCCCTCACTTCCTTTCCCTGCACACACCCCCTCCTTGCCTTTCCCTGCACACACACACACACACACCCCGCCTTTCCTTGCGTATTGCCTGCAGACCCTGGTCACTGCGGTTCTCTCTCATCTTTTTCACAGGCGTGTAAATCTCCAAACAGACGTCTGGACTGTTGCACAGCTCGGGGGTGTTTTCCCAGGACTGACGGGCTCTTAAATGTAACCTGGAGGCTGAAGACGCTGGCCTCCCACCCCATCAGCCTCCAAACAGCAGAGCCCCTCGTCTTCACGACTGGGCAGGGGGCGGTCGTGTATGTCCGCTGGGTTGGTCTGGGGTCTGTTTTCCATTCCACTCCCCGACACACAGGGATCAGGGCGCCTCCCCAGCCGGATGATGCTGGTCACCCCCGCTGCTGACCCGTACCTGGGTGGTGGACCACCTGAGCACCACGGGGCGGGTGACACATGGCAGGACCTTGCCCAGAAGCTGCAGCAGCCAGGACTGGGTCTGGGAGATGGGCGATTTCTTGTTCAAGCAGTAGGTCATGGTGTCGTGGCTTCCTGCAAGCAAATGCGGGGGACAATTTTCCGGGAGCCTCTTCCTGCACCGCGTGCTCTGAGCTCATGTGGAGAACACACACAGCACCAGGCGTGGGTCGTCGCCCAAAACGCACAACCACCCGGAACCTGCCGCCGCCGGCGGAGTGCAGAGAGTCATCCAGGACCGGGGGGCCCTAAATCCCATGACAGGTGTCCTTATGGGGACAGAAGAGGAGACACAGACACAGAGGAGAAGCCACGTGACCCCAGGTATGTCTCTGGTGGGGAAAACTAGAGGTCACTGTGGGGACGGCCCTGTGCAAAGTGCACCCTCACCCCACACAACCCGGGACATGCTCCTGAACTGGGCGAGGCACCCCCAGATGCATCCACACCGAAAAACTTTAAGGTTTCCCAGAAACCTCTGAAAAGAAGAGTAAGAAAGGGGGACTTTTACTCTGAGGGGCTAATGCACACGTGTTGTATATGGACGTGCCATATACATAAATAAACCTGCCATGTCAGTCAGACTCACGCTGTTGCAGAATCCACTCATCAACAGATCGCAATACTGAGTTCAGAGATGGACACCATTCTACCAATTTCAGGTACTCTAAAGAAGCATCCCAGTCAGGGGCCAAAAGGGTCCTCCCAGCACGCGGCTAACAGTGGAAATCAGGTGAGATTCCTGTGTCCTATGTCCCGTCCAGTCCAGTGTACCCTAGACTGTTGACAGATTTTCACGCACGATGAAACCGTACCGTTCTGTTGGAACATATGGGTATGTCTCTCTGAGCATGATCCCCAATGCAAAAGCTATGAACGAAACGACAGGCAGATCTGACCCCATAAAGAAAAATTCACTTTTCCTGGGGGCGCCCACATGGCTCAGTCGGTTGAGTGTCCGACTCTTGAATGTGGCTCAGGTCATGATCTTGGGGTCGTGGGATCGAGCCCTGCACGGGGCTCCACACTCAGCAGAGTCCGCTTGGGGATTCTCTCTCTCTCTCCCTCTGCCCCTCCCCTCACTCTGACCCTCTTTTTCTCTCCAAAATAAATTAATACTTTTTTAAAAAATTGACTTTTCCTTTACGTAGAAACTTAAAAGTTACAAATAACACAGTATGAGATGCTTTGGGATGTCCCTGTGCTCAGCTAACACCCTAAAGATGTCCCCAAGACACGCTTGTCTGAATGCCCACATGGCGGGCAGAACGTGACCCTCCAAGATCCCCCCCCAAATCCCCTGGGGCCTGTGCAGGTGTCATCCCATGCGGCAGAAGGGAATTTGCAGGTCAGTTATGGGTGTCGTGACGGGAGATTTTCTTGGATGATCTGGTGGCCTGACCCAGCCTCGAGGGACCTTAAGAGGGAGATGGGGTCAGACTCAGGGAGGTGGGCAGAAGGCATGTTGCGGGCTTCAACGTGGAGGAAGGGGCCCCTTGAAGCTGGACATGGCAGAGAAACATATTCTCCTGGGAACCTCCAGAGGAGCTGGCCTGGGGCGCCTGGGGGGCTGAGTCGTTGGGCATCTTTCTTTTTTTAAAGATTTTATTTACTTGACAGAGACACAGTGAAGAGAGGGAACACAAGCAGGGGGAGTGGGAGAAGGAGAAGCAGGCTTCCCGCCGAGCAGCGAGCACGACGCGGGACTCGATCCCAGGATCCTGGGATCATGACCTGAGCCGAAGGCAGACGCTTTTTTTTTTTTAAGATTTTATTTATTTATTTGACAGAGAGAGAGATAGAGAGAGCAGGAACACAAGCAGGGGGAGTGGGAGAGGGAGAAGCAGGCTCCCCGCAGAGCAGGAGTCTGGCGTGGGGCTCGATTCCAGGACCCTGGGATCATGACCTGAGCCGAAGGCAGACGCTTAACGACTGAGCCACCCAGGCGCCCCAATCAATAAAATAAAATAAAAAGAAAGGAGCTAGCCCTACAGGCACTTAGAGGTCAGACCTGTGCAGATTTCTGGGCCCCAGACCTGTGAGATGCCCCCTGTGTGTGGTATGGAGCCACAGGTTGTGGTCCTTCATTAAAGGAGCCCCAGGACACTCTCACAGCCACCCAGATGGTGGTGACTTCGGGACCAGGGGCTCCTCCCCCACTGGTGCTGAGGTGTCCCCGGCCACACCAGCTGCGTCCCTCCCCACATCTGCCGTCTAAGGGAGCTACTTGCCCACACCCTCCGCGGAGGCCACCTGCATCCAAGGGGCATGGAGGGGATGGAGGCCCCCGGGACGGGCATACCTCTGTGTCCCTCCTCACTTCCCAGAACGACTCCCTGCTGATCCCCAGGACGCCCACCGGAAAACTGCATCCCGACTGCACACAGAGTACTTAGGGACCCACAGAAAACATGCCCCCCCCCCACAGGAAAACAGCCCCCGGGTGAAGGGGAAACCCTAGGGACTCAGGTCACCAGGGAGTATGTGCAGGGACGTTATCTCTCCTTGAGCATGCTGGTGAGGCCAGGGGCGGAGAGGGGCTGCAGGGGCCCCTCCAGTGGGAGAGACTCAGCACGGTAGCCTCAGAGAGTCCAGGACTCAGTCGAAAGAGCGATGGTGGGCGAGCAAGGCACACACCCTGTAGGTTCCTGGCGAAGCTGCCCACGGTGGGGACTGATGGTCGCCACACACGGGACAGTCTCCGTGACATATGCTCCCATACAAATGTCAGCAGAGTGCACACGGTCAGTACAACACGAGGCTCCGTATTTGCCCGTGTAGGAAATGCGGACGATACTATGTTGAGTAAAAAGGCAGATGGAAAATTGTACGGTTCGATCTTGTTCTCTGTTTATAGTATCTATCTTTATATATAAAAATGGATCATCCCCATATATAAATGGACCCGTATGCTATATATATTAAAATATATAATTTTAAAATACAGGTAAATATATGTCAATAGAGGATTTAAATTTTTTTTTAACTTACCTAGATGTTCACATTTTTCTGCAATCATTATTTATTGGGTATATGAGTTTTCTGTGGCTCCTTCAACAAAGTACCACAAACTGGGAGGCTTCAAAGAACAGAAATTAATTGTATCCCAGCTCTGGAGGCCGGAAGTCTAAGATCCAGGCGGGGCAGGACCACTGAGATCCAGGCGGGGCAGGGCAAGCTCCCTCCAGAGGCTCCAGGGGAGGGTCCTCCCTGCCTCTTCCAGCTCCTGGGGCTCCAGGCAACCCTGGGCTCATGGCCGCGTCCCTCCCGTCTCTGCCTCTGTCCTCACGTGGCTTCTCCTCTGTGTCCGTGTCTCCTCTTCTGTCTCTTGTAAGGACACTTGTCCTTGGATTTAGGGCCACCCTGATCCAGGATGAGCTCATCTCAGATCCTTCACTTTACATCTGCAAAGACCCTATTTCCACAAAATGCCCCCTTCCAAGGCTCGTGGGTGGAGGGGGACATGATTTTGGGGGGCACTGGCCAGTGCCTACACCTGGGTTTGTGCTGTTGCCCCTCAGGCCCAGCAGGGACACAGCCTGATCCCAGAGTTGCAGGGGCCCAGACGGAACCCAGCAGGCCTGACTCAGGGCTGCCAGGTCATTGGATCAGAGTCCCCAAAGTGTTGAGTGTGATCTCCTTATGGGGCAGACCCACTTTGGACTCTACAGGCTCCAAGCACAGAGGACACTCAGCACACGGGTGATGGGGAGTGATGAATACAGCCATGAGAAGACAGCGGGTTCCCTACATGGAGGGACAGACTAGCAGGGGAGCTTCACCCCGAATCCCTATGCTGTCACAAAGCCACACTCCCCTGGGATGTGCATATGCCTGCCGGGCTGCATTAGAGTAAAGGAGATGGAAAAGGGAAAACACTCATGTGGTGCATGTGTGTACACATGTGTGCATGTGTGCCTTATTGTGTGCATTGTGTGTACACGTGTGTGCATGCATGTGTGCGTGCCTGCCTGTACTGTATGCATGCATTATGTGTGCGCGCTTGTGTGCATGCATGTGTGTCCGTGCACACATCTGTACCTGTATTGTGTATGCGTGTGTACATCTCCTGTATTGTGTGCATGAGCATGCATGCATCTGTACCTGTATTGTGTGTGTGTACGTGTCCTGTATTGTGTGCATGTGTGTGTGCATGCGTGCCTGTATTGTGTGCATGAGCATGCATGCATCTATACCTGTATTGTGTGCATGCGTTGCATGTGCACGCATGTCTGCCTATATTGTGTGTATCCATGTATGTGCATCGTGCAGTTTCCCCACACCTGAGACCCATGGCATGCCAGCAGCACCCCAACAAGGATGGATAGAGAGGCCCTCACCTGGGATGGAGAGGTGGTGGAGGGGCACATCCCAGAGCAGGGGGCACAGCGCTGACATCCAGTCTGTATTTGTGGTGCATGGCAGGCTCTGGAAGCTGCCACAAGTGCTCACCTGTCCGCCCATCGGAGGTCACCCTGTGAGAGCTGAGGAAGGAAATGAAGTTTTGCAGAGGTCAACCAAGGGGGTTGCTTTCCCAGGGGTGGGGGGCAGTGGCTGCAGTGCATACCCTGCCTCCAGGGGACCCCCCTGCTTGGTCATGCGCTAATCTCCCCACTGCACCTCCGGACAGTGGGAAGGGGCTCACGTGCCAGCCTGCAGAGTCTGCGGGTACAGGGTTTCCATCCTGGGGGTGCCGGCGTCTTGAGGGCCCAGGTGAGCACCCCCTCCCCCTGTCTCCCTCTACCCCTGTTGGGGTAGGGCTCTGGTGCAAGGAATCCGAGAAAGGTTCCTGCCGAAGCCCGCGCACTCCCTTACAAGCACCAGGGCGATGCCCGGGGCTAGGGGATGGTAGGGGGGTCTCATGGGTCCATAGCCTACGGCCAGCGCCACTGCCTTCCAAGCATCTGCCAGCTATGTGTCCCACGCACACTCTCACAATAAGCAGACCGGTGGGCGTGTGTCACCAAGTGCACGGGGAAGGGAGCCCCAAAGACGTGGCCACAGTGGTCCGTGGACCAGCGGGCAAGACCTCGCCCCTGGTGCCTCTGAGGCTAAAACCACATGCCCCCGTCCAACACAGCCCGGCCTCCTGACCTGCCACCTCCACCCAAAGGGACACCATCAGGGACTGAGCCGTGCCCCGGAGCCCCGAGGTGACACCTCCTAATTTCCCTGCAGGAGCCTGTCTTGGGCTGAGCTGTGTCGTGTCCCTGCCACCAGATTCCAACATGGCAGCCCTCGTGTCATCTCCCTGGGTCATAGGATGGGTTCTGAGCAGAAGCACGTGGGGCAGGAGACCCGGGCCCATGGTGACCATGCAGCGTGTCGGCCACCACACAGGCATTCCCGACCCACCCTCTGCGAGGGACGAGTTCCCTCTAGTCTGGATGTGGCCCTTCCTCTGGCACGGCCTCCCGCTGTTGGAGTGGTAGGGGGTCAGAATCTGCCGCCCTGAAATAATCCGCTTTGCCATAAGGATTATTTTGATCTAAAGGAGACTGAGAAAAAGCAGAAACAAGAAAAACTCTCTGCCCTCCTCCTGTCTGCTTGAAAGCAGGCATAAATTTCCCTTTGTGAAGCCGTCCCTGCTCCCTGCTCCGTCCCCTGTACCAGGAGAGGGAGGAATATTCTCACTGGGGAAGTCTGCATAACAAGCCTCACTAAGTAACACTCACCTCCCATTAGTTTCCCCCAAACGCTCACCTTCTCACAGTTTACTGTCCCTACGACCCCAACCCCCTCTTCCTCTGGCTTGTCACTTCTCCACAAATGTATCACCCCTTGTTGAAATGGCAGGTAAGCCCATAAGTCTAACTATCTCCTTGAATCCACTTCTCTTCTGTGAAGGCTTCTGCACACCTACAGAATTAACCTTTTCTCCTGTCCATCTGTCTTTTATCATTTTATTTTATTTTATTTATTTTATTATTTTATCTTTTTTTTTAAGATTTTATTTATTTGACAGAGAGAGACACAGTGAGAGAGGGAATACAAGCAGGAGGAGTGGGAGAGGGAGAAGCAGGCTTCCCACGGAGCAGGGAGCCCGATGAGGGGCTCAGCCCCAGGATGCTGGGATCATGACCTGAGCCGAAGGCAGACGCTTAACGACTGAGCCACCCAGGCGCTCCTATTTTATTTGTCTTTTAAGTAAGCTCTATGCCCAACATGGGGCTCGAACTCTCAACCCTGAGATCAAGAGTTGCATGCTCCACCCACTGAGCCAGCCAGGCACTCCTGTCTTTTGTCATTTTAATTTGCGGGTCCCAGCACAGAACCTAAGAGTGTAGGAAAAAAATGTCTTCCTGGTCTACACTGTGTCTAGTACGCCAAAAGCCAACACCATTGGTTCTCATTCTGTCTCAGCAGCAACAAAGACCAGTCCTCTCTCCCATCCATGAAAGGGTCCTTGAGATAATCTAGTAGCACCCGGGCCATCCGTCTTCACTCATGGCCTGTCCCAGGGCTCTCTCAGCTCATGCTCGGTGTCAGTGGTGTCCCTGCAGGAGTGAGTGTGGGATCCCAGACCTCCTGGGGGGCTGACATTCACGCAGCAAGCGTCCAGGCTGGACTGTGCCATGTCACACACACACACACACACACACACACACACACACACACACACAGGAACCAGTCCTCGAGGTGCCATCCGGCCACAGATGGGCCACTGCCTGCCCCGTGCCCACACAGGTGTCCGGAATGCAGGCGGATCAGGAATTGTGTAACCCCATCCTCAGGACTCCATCGTGTGTGTTGGTGGACCGCATCGGGGCATGTGGTAAGGCCTGACTAGGACACACAGCCTCTGCATGCTTGTTAGAATAGGGGCCGGGGCCATGCCTCTCCCAGCTGCCGCCCCAGGGGGCCTCTTCACCCCCAACTGAAGAGCTGGCCAGAGCCCAGTCCCATCCCGGTGCCCCGGAGAGGAGGCTCTGGTGAACCCTGGGATCTCCCAGGGACTCGTCATTTTGCTTCCAAGGAAAACGACTCTCTGAGCTTCAAATGAAGGGGGACAGAACATGCCCCCTAAAGTGTGCCCTTTGGACATTAGGGTTCTTCCCAGAGGAAGGCCAGCGAGGAGCACCAGGCACAAAGAAACTGCAGGACGAGGCACAGGTTACCCTGCAGAAAGGCTGTTTCCAAGCAGATGGGGACGTCGACCTCCAGAGGCATCTCTGTCCCCGCACCTGGGAGAGGTCCTGGGTGCACCTGCACCCCCATGCTGTCCCCACCGAGCGCGCCCTTCCTCAGCTGGACCCTTCCTCAGCTGGACCGCCTCCACCCTCTGGACTGGAGCAAGGCAGGGCTTAGGCAAGTCCGGGGGTGGGGATTGCACAAAACCGGGGTGAGAGCGGGTTCACAGACGCCCACACCCAGCCAGGTGAGATACCGGAACCTCCCACCTGTGAGTGTGCAGGGAGGCTGCTCCGTACCCCATGCGGCACGTGTCATCCTCGGGCGGTGACAGTGACACAATGACGCTCAGGAAATAGCTCTTCGGTGAATAAACAGGCGGACTCGCGGCCGGCAGACCCACCTGACATTCCGCCCTCCTCCTCACCTGGCTCCCCACCGCTCCCTGACCTGCCTGTCCGGAGGCCCTGCCCCAGCACCTAAGGACCCGCCATGACCCCCGGGCCAACAAGTGTTTCACCTGCTCGGCAGTAAGGTCGGTGCCCAGGGAACCCGCCACCATCAGGACCCCGGGGCCACAGCCTGGGGGGTCCGGGCTCAGCTCTGACCCCAGCCAGTTCCCACCCTCCCCGCCGGCAGGGACACCAAGGCTGGAGTGGACACTCTGGCGGCCCTTCCTGCTGCCCCTCCAGCCGGGTCGGGAGGAAAGGGCAGCCTCAGCACGCGACCGGTCCCCGCCCCCGCCCGCACCTCAGGCTGGGACCACCCACCTGCCCGCTGGCCCCGCAGCGGACCCCCTGCACTCAGCGGGGAGGCACTCACCGCCCACGGCAGTCTCTCCGGCAGAGTTTCCAGCAGAGGCTCCCTCCGCTTGCCCCCGACGCTCAAGCACGTCCTAAAATGCTCTCTGCCTTGCCATTGGATGTCGAGAACACCGCCCCCAAGAGGAGGATCCGCCTCCAGGACACTCATTTCCTGCCCTGCGGAGCGGCAGCCTGCCACCTCCAAGCCCAGAGCAGGACCCCCCCAAGCCCAGAGCAGGACCCTCAGGTCCAGAGCAGGATCCCCAAGCCCAGAGCAGGACCCCCGCCCCCAAGCCCAGAACAGGACCCTCAAGTCCAGAGCAGGATCCCCAAGCCCAGAGCAGGCCCTCCCCAAGCCCAGAGCAGGACTCCCCCAAGCCCAGAGCACGACCCCCAAGCCCAGTGCAGGCCCTCCCCAAGCCCAGAGCAGGACCCAAAGCCCAGAGCAGGAGAGTCCCCAAAATCCAGAGCAGGACTCAAAGCCCAGAGCAGGGACCCCCCCAAACCCAGAGCAGGATCCCAAGCCCGAAGCAGGGCCCCCAAGCTCGGAGCAGGGCCCCCCAAGCCCAGAGCAGGGCCCTCCAAGTCTGGAGCAGAACCCCCAAGCCCGCTAACCCTACACCTAAAGGAGCTGGAGAAAGAACAGCAAATAAAGCCTCAACCCAGCAGGAGAAGAGAAATAATAAAGATCAGAGCAGAAATCAATGAAGTAGAAACCAAAAGAACAGTAGAACAGATCAACGAAACTAGGAGCTGGTTCTTTGAAAGAATTAACAAGATTGATAAACCCCTGGCCAGACTTATCAAAAGAAAAGAGAAATGACCCAAATCAACAAAATCATGAATGAAAGAGGAGAGATCACAACCAACACCAAAGAAATACAAACAATTATAAGAACATATTATGAGCAACTCTATGCCAGCAAATTAGATAACCTGGAAGAAATGGGTGCATTCCTAGAGATGTATCCACTACCAAAATTGAACCAGGAAGAAATAGAAAACCTGAACAGACCTATAACCACTAAGGAAATTGAAGCAGTCATCAAAAATCTCCCAACAAACAAAAGCCCAGGGCCAGATGGCTTCCCAGGGGAATTCTATCAGACATTTAAAGAAGAATTAATACCTATTCTCCTGAAACTGTTCCAAAAAATAGAAATGGAAGGAAAACTTCCAAACTCATTTTATGAGGCCACCATTACCTTGATCCCAAAACCAGACAAAGACCCCATCAAAAAGGAGAATTACAGACTAATATCCTTGATATACATGGATGCAAAAATTCTCACCAAAGTACTAGCCAATAGGATCCAACAGTACATTAAAAGGATTATTCACCTTTTATCAGATAAACCAAGTGTGGTTTATCCCTGGGCTGCAAGGTTGGTTCAACATCCACAAATCAATCAACGGGATACAATACATTAACAAAAGGAAGAACAAGAATCATATGATCCTCTCAATAGATGCAGGAAAAGCATTGGACAAAGTACAGCATCCTTTCTTGATCAAAACTCTTCAGAGTAT